GTGAGCTGGCTGGTAGGCAGCCTCAGACTTACTTCTTACTGGCTGGGTAACCTTGGGGAAGTTAATGAACCACCTTGAACCTCTGTTTCAGGATCTACAAATGGAGATGAGAGTAGTATAAAAGATGTTATCTACTTGATGAAAACTGTTGTTAAGGATTGAGAACATTAATGTGTGTGAGTGCTTAACACAGTGCCTGCCACATAAATGCTCAAAACATGTTAGCTGCCCTTGTTAAATTCCAAGAACCTTTCTTCTCCATTTGTTAACACATCTCTGTATTTAGGAGCACTTAACGGAAAAATCTGTGGTTAGACCGGGGCTTCAATTAAGGGTCTTAGCTCACTGCCAGGATGACCAAAAACAGAAGGCAAGGACAAGTCAAGGGGTTAAATGTCACAGAAGCAAAATGAGAAAGAGATCCTTTCCAATTAGCTGCTGCCACTTAATCTTTTCCCCTAGAAGAGAATCTTCTGCTGCCTCAGTGTCTTCATCTGTACGATGGGGATGGAGCCGCCCTTCCTGCCTAGAAGACCATAATGTAATCCTGGACATGATTGCACTTTATAAACTCAAGAGCACAATGCACTTGAGTTAGTGCTTAAGAGCACGGGTTCTGGGCAACCTAAGGTGAGTGACCTTAAACAAGCAAACATCTGGCCTCAGTCTCCCATGGGACTGCAGTGAGAAGTAAATATAAAGAATTGGGGGACTAGAACATCAGAAGAGCCCAACTCCTGAGAGTTACTATTATGGTTATAAACCTGTTCATTGGACTCTTCACCCCCAGGGGTCAGGTGAAAGCCTGATATAGTGATACAAACACTAGCCCAGGAAATGGGCTCTGTAACCAGCTGGTTGACCTTGGGCAAGGGGCTGACCCTCTCCAAACTTTGGATTCCCATGGTCACAAAATAAGAACACTGCAAGAGAGAATCCCTGGGCTCCTACCAGCTCTTCCACTCCGCTGTTAAGGTCGCCGGAACAAAGGCTACCCGCTCCCCAGCCTGTCCCCGAAGGGCCACAACTCAAAATTCTCGCTGCTCAATTCCCTTTGCAGCGCGACAGCAGGAGCGCCCGGGTCTCCATTCCCAAGAGAAGCGTCCACACTCCGCCGCCACCGCTCGCTTCATCAGCAACTTGCTTCTGCAGCCGCTCCCTGCCCAAAGTTTCCCTGAACGCCAGGAGACCCGGCCGCGGGTCAACCCCGGGAAGACCACGGATGAGAGCGCAGAGCCTGGGGACCCCGTTTCGGTGATCCCAAAGCCGCCTCCGCAGCCGGGCGGGGGAGTGACAGGTGCGATGAGGAGCCGCGAGCAACGGGAGAGCGGGACCCGGGCGGCTCGTGTAGGCGCGCAAGGGAGGCGGCGGCCGCGCGCTCTCCTCAGGCCGCTCCCGCCGGACACTTGCGACGCCCCCGGCTCCGCGCTCCGGCCCCACGACCCCCGCTCCGCTTCCGGACACGCGGCGCCGCAGAACCCGCAGCGCTTGAAAAGGATGGGTTCCGCCGGGCCGACCGCGCGTGCTGATTCTTCCCGCGCTAACCGGGGCTGCGGGGGGTGGGCGCACGCGCACCCGCGCGCTGCCGTAACCCCTTCCTCCCCGCGCGCCCCCGCACTCCCACCCGCCCACCCACCACTCACCATCGATGTCCCCCAGGGTCAGCTCGTCGCCCAGCTCTGTGAGCGTCTCCATGGTCTCCAGACCGCCCAGCTCGCCGCTCTCGTCCATCGCCGGGCTCGGCTCGAAGGCCGCCCTACCGTCCCGCTCAGGGAGACGCGGGGGCGGTGCCGCCGCCACCGCCCATGACACCCGACAGCCTCCTCCCGGTACCGCCTCACCGGCCGGTGCCAGCTTCCGCCATGTTTGCGCCGCGCGGGAGGGGCGGGGCGGGATTACCCCGCCCCAACCCGCGCCCTCTGCGGCCCCGCCCTCAGGCCGCGCGCCCCCTTGTTTGTTGTCAATGGGACCAGGCTCTTCGTGACCAATCAGCGCGCGAAGCGGCGCGTGGGGTGATGGCGCGTCATCGATCAGCAGCTTAGATTTGCATAGCAAGGCCCCACCCCTCGCGGGCTCTTAGCGAATGCGAAGAGAGGCCTCCGGGTCCTCAGCCCAACCTTCCTCCCCAGGCTTAAAGGCGTCGCTCCTTTTTCCGTTGGGTCGGCTTCTACAAGCTATTCCATCCACCGGCTGGGGGTTGAAGGGTTAACACTCTCCGCCCCCGCTTGCTGGTCGCCCCCGGAGCGAGCTGTGAGCACATTACGTCATCTTCCCAGCTGCTCCCCCGCCCGGCCTGCCTGGGAGAGCGGGTAGAATCAAACCTGGCCCCCCAACGCTGGGGCCCGGAGGAATCTGGACCCTTCAAGTCGCGTTCCTCGCAAGCCCCTTACAAAGGCAGAAATGGAGGCTCGGCGCAGGCCGCGAACTGTCCCGAGGGCGGAGTGCATTTTACAACCTCTCCGCCTTTGCACCTGTCGCAACCACGCGCCAACTCCGACGGTCCTCACCCGGGGTACCTCAGAACAGCCTGCAGACTTTTTAAAAGCAATGCTAGTGCCCGAGACCACCACAGGCCTCCTGGGGTGTGTGTGACCCGGGCAGGAGCATTTTCACAGTGCCGCAGATTCTAACGCGCACCCCGCCCGCAGATACCCACTCCTTCAAGCACCTCCTTGCCCCATCTTGCAGCTGGTCACGATGTAAAGAAATGTGCAGACTGATAGGAATTTATCCTGTAGAATCAAAGTATGAGCGCTCAAACAAGTGCGCAAATATGGAAGTTCAGAGACGTTCACCACAAAGTCCTCCGTAACTGGGACAAATTGGGAAGCCCAATAAAGGAGTGGATGAACAAATTACATACACACAATGGGATGCCATGGCATCATTAAAGATTAGGTACACAAACGTCTACCGACGACTCTCACAATACACTGTTAAAAAGGGACCGTCTGTTTCCTAAGAGAGCGCACACAGGCCACGTGGAGCCAGACATGGATCCACTTATGTATGCAGTGTGACCTCGCGCTGCCTGAGTAACTGCTCTAAGCCTCAGTTTTAAAATCTCTAAAATGCAGGGAAAATAATGTCCTCTCAGAGTTTTGAAGATTAAATGAAATCATTTGCACATTCATTTGACAGTATTTATTAAACATCTCTGACAGGCAAAAAAGAGGCAGTTCCTTACCTCTGAGAGCTTCCAGTAGTGAAGGGAACAGACATTAAACAGAAGTAAAAAGCAGACAACGGTACAAGTAATCAAGGGAATGTACTGGGTGTGATGCAACTAACAAAGGACTCTAACATTTAAGATGAAACCTAAAATTCTGAAGAATCATGTCTGGTGTAGCCAGGGGAACAGATGATACGGGCAAAGGCCCTGAGGCAGGAGGAGCTGCTGCCCAGCCAGCACTTGGCATGAGGCCTGACATATAGGATGTGCCCATACACAATAGCTATGGTAATTGAAAAAATAGGGATCTGTGTGTTCACATTAAGGGCTAAAAGGCTGGAAGGCCCAACAGCTGAGTGTCAGTCATGATTACGGAGTGGTTGGATTTAGGGTGAATTTTATTTTCTTCTTGGTATTTTGGTATTGTTTAAATTACCTCTTATAATGAACATGTATAAGAAAAACTGACTTATTTTGGGGGGAAAAAGGACAATGTTTCTTTGTTGTTTACATGCAGACTACACCCACTAGTCTCACCCTGAAACAAAACCAAACCCTGCTGCTCTGCTTGGAACCAGGCGTTGACTTGGGCAGTGCCACCTTCGACTGTGCCTCTCACAGGGCTCCCCACACCGAGGGGTGACTGTCTGCTGGCCTACCGTAACTCACTTTGGTCCAGCGCTCTCCCAACCCAGAGCCTCAGTAACCCCCTGCAGAGGGCTGCCTGAGCAGCAGGTCAGGTAAGTGGGCACAGCACCTCTCACCACAATTCCCCTCTGGACCTGCCCAGAGGCTGCGGTGCTAACAAAGTGGCCCGAGGGGGCACAAACGAAGGCTCAGTAGAAACTGCAGAAGAAAGCTAGCTGCGCCACATCCAGCCTCAGCAAAACACTGGCATTCTCCCTATGGCCCTGGATCCCAACTCACTAAACATCTCTACCAGTTGGCGCCTTGCTCCGGCTGGGAGAACACAGACTGGCTCTCAGGGCTGGAGCAGCCTTAGACAAGTCACTCCTCAGGACCTGGGTTCTTCACCTGGAAAGGGAGGGACCAGACAACCACATATCCAGAGATCTACCACAGGTTGGGCAATTACTACAGGTCAGAGAAGTGAGCTCTGAATATGTTTTTTTTTCATTTACTACCTTTGACGCCTCCCTTTTCAGGCCTCTGCTCACAGTGCCTGTCACCTCCCTCCCCCAATCTTGCAGGATTTAGTTGTCACTTCCTCCAGGATTAGGCAAGAACGTGTACCCCACGGTTTCCACAGAGATTAAGCTTGGGGATGGGAAACAAGTTTGCTTTTGGATAAGCGGAAACATAAGGACTGAGGGTTATCACTGGCAAGAGGGCAGGTGCCATCAGCTTTGGGGTCTCAGAGGATGCAGCTGCCAAGAAGAAAAGAGCAGAGAGGAGAGACTAGGCTTAAAAAATAAAAAATGCTTTGGGGGCATTCATGATCTCATCTCAGGGTCCTGGGATTGCCCCCCGACCCCCCCACTCCACACACTGTGGGCTCCCTGCTCAGCGGGGAGTCTGCTTCTCCCTCTGCCCCTCCCTCTGCTCATGCTCTTGTGCTCGCCCTCAAATAAATAAATAAAATCTTAAAAAAAAAATGCTTCGTTTAAGGGGCAGGTGAGGCAAGAGGAGGAATCAGGAAGAGACAGAGCTGACTCAGACTGAGCACAGAGAACCAGGACAACAAAGGGGCCCAGAAGCCTGGAAGGGTCATCTCAGAGAGCTTCCAACAGCATTCAGA